GTGTGTGTGTGTGTGTGTGTGTGTGTGTTGAGGCGTCGAGCTTATGGTGCGTCCGAAGCGCAAGCAACCCGAAGGTTTGGTCTGAGATGATGCAGTGGAGCCGATTGGCTGGCTGCGTGGACCCTGCGTTTTTGGGATTTTTTTGGGTGGGGGCGTGCGCAGACCACTTGCTTGCCCGACTTGCAACTGCCTTTTCCATCACCACCACACGAGGAGGCGCTCTTGGATGTTTCGAGCAGCTTTGCCTCGACGCCGTTTGTCTGGACCTTCGGCCTCGCTTGCACACTTGCACCGCAGCCTACACAGCTCGTCTGCGCACGCTGGACTCTGGTCGGCCCTCGCCACGCTATTCAAGCCTTGGACAATGGAGGCGGTGGGATCGCCCATTCCGCCACCCGCGGCCACACGGCGGCTGGATGCGGCCGACGGACCACTGGTGTGGATCGACTGCGAAATGACCGGCCTCACCACGGCGGATCGACTGCTCGAAGTGGCGTGCATCATCACCGATGGAGACCTTACCCCGCTCGATCAAGGTGTATCCTACGTGATCCAAACCCCGAAACATGTGCTGGATAATATGAACGCCTGGTAGGTCCCCATCCCTTATTGCCAACTTCAAGGTTGATGGCTGATGCTGGTTGATGCAGGTGTGTGAGGCAGCATGGAGAGTCGGGCTTGACTGCAGAGTGTCAGTCGGATTCCGCACACCCACATGCATCCGTCAGAGCCGCCCTGCTAGCGTACGTAAGGGATAGAGTCCCCACACCCAACGCTGCCTGCCTGGCCGGTAACACGGTCCACGCCGACAAGGTGTTTTTGGTAAAGGAAATGCCCGAACTCGTGCAGCATCTGCACTACCGCATCGTCGACGTTAGCAGCATCAAGGAGCTCGCCAAAAGATGGTACGGCCAAGATGCGCTGTACAAGCACCCACAACAGCCCAACGCTCAGCCGCACAGAGCACTGTTCGACATCAACGCGAGCATCGACGAGCTCAAGTGGTACAGGCAGACGCTCTTCAAACTAACCACCAAGCCAAACTAACGCACTGGCTCAAAACCCCGACTACCCCTCCAAAAAGCTTCAAGCGCTCAATCCTAACTCACTCGACCGTGGCGAATCAATGGGGCCCCTCTCGCTCACGCTGCACAACATCCCGTGACACTCGGCGTGCGCAAATGCGTTGGTGGCGCGGGTGTATAGGCGCCTGTGGGGTGACGATCTAGAGCGAGTTGAGCAGAGCCTCGCGCGCGCGCGCCTGGTTCGTCTTGAGCGTCTCGTTTTCCGCCTCGAGATGGCGGATGCGCGTATCGCGCTGCTCGACCTGCGTGCGCAGCTGCGCCACCAACGTCGACAGCCGCTCCACCTCGCCTGCAGAGCCACTGCCATTCGCACCGCCAGCGGCTGCAGCGGCGGCACTAGAGTCGTGCTTCACCGCGCCAAAGCTCTTGGTCTCGACCGGCGCAGCAGCCGGTGCAGGAGCAGGCGCCGACTTGACCGGTGAGGCGGCACGCACTGGCGTCGACTTGACGGGCGAAGCAGCACGAGCTGGCGTCGACACTGGCGCAGCGGCGGCGCTTGGTGCTGGTGCGGAAGCCACGGGCGTCGGAGCAGCAGCAGCAGTAGCAGCAGGAACCGAGGCGCCACTGCTCACACCCTTGCCCGTTTCAAGACTGATGAGGTTGGGCGGGGCGCGTTTGCCCTCGAAGAAGTCCTTGGCCGACAGCGCAGCGACGGCGCTGGGGGCAGGCGGGAAGATGTCCGACTGGAACGACTCGGCCTTGCGCGGCACGCAGAACGACACCGGCTGGATCGTCGTGCCCGTGATCTTGTACGCCTTGGCGATCTCGTTTTCGTCCGTGTTGAGGAAGCGGCGCGACACAAAGGTCAGCCCGCGCTGTGGCTCGCTCGACTTGGACTCGGTGAGGTAGTGCAGCTCGTCGTTTTCGAGCTCATAGTAGCGGATGTTGCCGTCGCCCTTGCCGGCGAGGAAGACAATGTTGTTGTCGCTCCAGAAGGGCATGATGATGCCGCTGCTCGAGTCGAGCGTCACCTGCTTGAGCGGGCCGGCGGCGAGGTTGGCCGTGTCCCACAGGAACATCTGGCGGTCGGACATCTTGGAGAAGCCGGTGGTGATGGCACGCTGCTTGTCGCCGCACCACACGACGCGCGCGCCCTTGATCCCGCCGTGCGAGTCGGCCACCTGCACCGGGTTCTCGCCCTGTCGCGGGTCGAACGTGCGGATCTTGCGGTCGCGCGAGGTGGCGATGAGCGTGGTGCCGGTGTAGTCCCAGTCGAGCGACTGGATCGTGTCGCTGAAGCCGCGCAGGCTGATGCTGGGCGAAGACGCGGCGGTGGAGGCGTGCGACACGTCAAACAGCTTCACCACATGGTCGCCCGTCGCTGCCGCCAGCACGTTGGAGGCGGTGGGGTGCCACACCACCTGGCCCACCTTGCGGCCGCCGGCCGAGACGCGCGCGAGGGGCTCAAAGTCCTTGACGCCGCCGTTGCGCTCGCGCTCCTTGTCGGACCAGTCGAGCTGCTCGAACGCGGCGTCGTCCACCTTCCAGAGCCCGATGGTGCCGTCGTCGGAGGCGGAGGCGACAAAGTTGTCTTGGAACGGACTGAAGGCCGTGTCGAGCACCGTGGCGGTGTGGCCGCGGCAGAGCGGGTAGATGTCCGGCAGCTTGCCCGAGCGGCTCACGGGGATCACGGCGAAGGCACCGCCGCCCGACGCATTCCAGTTGATCGAGAGGTACTTGCCGTTGGCGGCGATGAGGTTGGTGTCCCACGCATTGTTGGAGACCTTGACGTTTTCGTAGCACGCCTCCTTCTTGCCCACGTTTGGATAGACGTGGCGGTACTTGGACGGTCGGACGAAGCGACTCATGTTGCGCGAGTGAAGAGTAGGAGCGAGGAGCGAGGAGCGAGGAGCGAGAGAGGTGGGATGGATGGGTTGGAAAGGGAAGAAAGTGGGGGTGATGCTCACCTCGGCTGACGCTGTCAGACATTTCGAGCCACACGCCGCCCTGTCGGTCTCTCTCCCCGTCTCCCTGTCTCTCTGCCTCTCTCTCTCGCTCTCTTCCCCCAACGTCGGGCACTGCAGCTGTGCTGTGCGGTCATCTTTCTCCATGCACTGCGCAGCTTCCGCACTCCGACCGGAAGTGATCCGTGCGGACATCGCTTTCGCCTCCGGAAATCCAATTCGGAATTTGTGAAAATTTTAAAGATGTAACATTGATTAAGCATAAGCGTCTCCCGACACCCGAGCATTCGCAATTCAGCACTGCGCAGCGCGACTGGACTGGACCTTTGGAAGGCGAAGGCGCGCCTCGAAAGGGTGTGCGGGTCGCTCGATCGGCTGCCACTTTGGACTCTCGTGTCGCGTTGAGGCGCAGCAACCAGAAGAAGCTAAGCTGCACTAAATTCGTCGAGGTGGTCGGTGCTCACTCGTCGTGACTGAGCTTTTCGCTTTCAACCACCACCACCACCACCACCACCTCTCGCAATCTTGGCCATCATGTCGGGAACAACACAGTGGGAGAACATCTTCCACGGCCTCGACACCACGCCGGGCAAGCTCAGGATGTCCCAGGGCGGTCTCGGCTGGAAGCCCTCCGTGGGCGAAGGAACCACCATCACCATCCCCGCCGACCACATGGCCTCCTTCCAGTGGATCCGCGTCGCACGCAACTACCAGCTCTCCATATTCCTCGTCAAGGACCGCGACGCACCCTCCTCGGCACAGACCCACCCGCGACGCACCAACTTTGACGGCTTTGTGCGCGACGACTTCGAGCGCCTCTCGTCCAGCATCCGCCAGTACTTTAACAAGAACCTCGACTCCAAGGAGGTCTCCACACGCGGATGGAACTGGGGTCAGGCAAAGATCACCAATCATGACGTCCAGTTCCTCGTGCGCGACAAGCTCGCCTTCGAACTGCCGCTCGCCCACCTCGCCAACAGCAACATTGCAAAGACAGAGGTGTCCATGGAGTTCCTCAACCCAGAGCAGCAGCAGCCCGGTGCCAACACTGGCTCCACCGACGGCTCCTCGTCCAAGTCCAGACGTATGAAGGGAGACCAGCTCGTCGAAATGCGTCTCTACGTACCGGGTCAGGCGGCCAAGGACGACGGCAGCGATGCAGCGAGCGCAGCCGATGGCGGCGACGACAACAACGAGGAGACCGCGGCAGAGGCGTTCCACGAGGCGCTCAAGTCCAAGGCCGACATCGGCCAGGTGGCGGGCGACTCGATCGTCGTGTTCAAGGAGGTGCTCGTGCTCACGCCGCGTGGTCGCTACGACATTGACGTCTTCAGCACATTCATCCGTCTGCGCGGCAAGACGTACGACTACAAGATCCTGTACAGCTCCATGAACAAGCTCTTCCTGCTGCCCAAGTCGGACGAGATCCACGTGATGCTCGTCATCGGCCTCGACCCGCCCATCCGCCAGGGACAGACGCGCTATCCGTACCTGGTGCTGCAGTTCCCGCGCGAGGAGGAGATGGACGCCGAACTCAACCTGGACGACGAGACGATCGCCACAAAGTACGACGGCAAGCTCAAGAAGCGGTACGAGGAGCCGACGTTCCGCATCGTGACCAACATGTTCAAGGTGCTGTCGGGCCAAAAGGTGGCGACGCCGACGGATTTCGAGTCGTCGTCCGGACAGACGAGCATCAAGTGCAACGTCAAGGCGGCCGACGGCAATCTGTATCCGCTCGAAAAGTCGCTGCTGTGGGTGTCCAAGCAGCCGGTCTACGTGCCCTACTCGGAGATCCACCAGGCCATCCTCTCGCGTGTCGGCGGCGCCGTGGCGTCGTCC